AGATATATATATATATATATATATATATATATACAGAGAGAGAGAGAAATCAATCAAAATTCACTGGGCTGTGAAAAGAATTGATTCCCAAAACAGTTAGCTGAATGGGCCTTTACCAGAACTCTACGAGGAAGCTGCCAATTGATGAATGTTCTTTGGATGACGCCCACTTCGTGCACCCTAAATGGCGTTAGGCGGTTCTGACAATTACGCTTTAATTAAGCAAGCTATATAGTTCAAAAGTGTAATCAGTATCTCCGAGATACTCTATTCTCAGGCTCAGCGATGTAGTGAACACATTCATTTCAAGAGCTCTGTCATCGCGTGCAGCATCATCCTTCGAATCCNTTTCAATCGCCAAGGTTACACAGAAGTAATTGTGCAGATCGTTTTTCTGCTAAGTTCTTTTTCTTAGTGTCATATGTGCTTAAGAACCGATTAAAGAGGTTGGGGAGTAGTTACACAATGATAATATTCGCAATCATTCACACAAGCACATTCTTCGACCGTAAGTGCACCGTGTTCAGCTCAATGCAAATATGGTGAGGTCGGCACTAGTCGTCGAACACCCCATCCAACAAGTTTTGATTGAATAGCGCGAATTCTAAGGACAAATGGCCAAAATATCCAGGGATCTATATACAGCGTACCGAAAGCTTTCAGCTTTCAAACCCAAAAGGAGCATTGAAATATCTCTCCCGGGGAGAGGGGAATGAACGGCGAGAATACAATCAGAACATTTGGGGAGGAGTACGGATCTGTACAGATTTCACTTAAAGCAAGCAAGAGTGGGATCAAAATCCGAGTAATACCTACCTTACTTTATTAGACGATGTCTGTTGCAGAATAAATTAGTACCATATATATCGCCAAATACATTTCGTTGGAATAGGATTGAATATTCAATCTACTTTCTCATTATTCCCCAAGTGGATGAAGGATTCGTGCTTGTGAAATACAATTAAATCACGCAAGAGATGCACGAAAATTCGGCACCCCAGTAACTGACTTACCCAAATGCGGGAACGTAATTAGAGGTGCAGTTTATCGCCAAATTAGCCAAAATTGAAGATGAGGATCACGGAAGCTTCTAACTGAAAAAGATTGCAAAGAACTAATATCCGTGGTACTTTGGGCAGGCTTTTCGAACTTGCTACGTGCCGTTGAGAGCGGCCGATTTGAATGCACGATTTGATGCTACATATAAGAAGGTACGTATTGATTCCGACAGCGATTTTGAATCGCATCGCCAGTGGTTTCGACGCTCCGCGTTCATTTCAACAACGCAAACCTGATATTAGATTGACCTGAGAGGAGGCGGGAAAATGCTATTTGTGAACCTACATCGCTTCCGCGAGAAATTCATTCATCGGTCCCCGAAAAGGAAATATCCGTCCCAATTAATGATTTTCGAGAGAAAGAAATATCGAGCGCTGTGTCGATGGACCTCCGCAGATGGCACCCTAGATAATGCTAAATTTATCGCACTAATTAAACAGGCCTTTATTCATTATCAATCGTGGAATGTATAAACAAGAGTCATACTTTTCAAAAGAAAAGCACCTTGTCACTTTTAAGTCGCTGTAGAAATCACTTGGACCATATATATGGATTTATTCACTTGGCACAAAATTCGAGGGGCAGTTGAGTTTTTGAGAAACTAGAACCATCCAACCATTTGAAAAAATCGATATAAGATGGTGGGTGAATTATGTAGATAAACACCCGGATGAAGATATCCAGTAAACTTGACATCGTTGCGCATGAGGGTCAAGCACTGTCACGAGACGGTTTAAGTTGTTTGTTTGTTGATCGATTATCCGCTTGGTCGAATAATGAGGACGAAGTAGATGGCACAGTTAGAAAACTGAAACCAGCAGATAAAAAACCCGAAAGATTCACGCAGAAAGTGAGCAGACACAGAAGCGCAATTCTCTACAACATTCAGCCATATCACTGAGCGTTTCAGACAATCGATTACATTTATTTTTATCAGATCCACAACCAAGAAACCTATCGCGACTTACTCGATCAAGTAAGTCTGACCGTACTTGGTATCCTTTCAACTACAAAATAACTCGGCCAACGCAGTCTGCAGAGAAAGCCCATCCGGTGATGCACGTAACACGTGCACCAATCACCGAAATCCATAAAGGTCTTACGCTTGAACTATTTATCACACCCCACTGTGTGGTAAACTTAGTGTGACGAGGACCCACCGTTCACTCATATGTTGACTGAAAATCGAAGTCCCAAGTGTTGGAGTAGCGAAAAACATGTAACCCCAGTAGGGTAGGCGTAAGGTTGAGCCTACCATTACATCACCATCATAAGTAAGCCCCAACGCTCACCGCAGACAGTCAGTTCGTAAACTTGACTGCTACTACCGAATCCGTATCGTCTAAACTCCGTTTATTCCGTTTATCCGTTTTGGGTTCATACTCTTCTCGGCGAAGCTTCTGCACAATATAGCAGTATTGGTCGAAAAGCAAGCAGCCACCGTTTCAGGTATCAACTCAAGCTTCTATTATTTTGTTTATATGCTGGAATGCAATATTGTAGCAAAAATACCATGAAAAATAAACGAACACTCAACTATGAACTTTGTACAACAAGAAGTTGAAATCCATTATTTTGCTGAAAAACTCCGGATACTCAGATGTGTGGTTTTGGAAATGTGGAGAATAACATGCATTTCAAACGCGAACAAGATATCCGCAATCCCCTGAGCTAAATCTACAAGAAAGAAACAGGGATATATAACGTGGGGTGTTAAACTTACGCTCGTATGTGGCATAAACCTCCGGATCGACAGGTGCCAACGCTGCACTTCGATCAAAGACCGATGATTGGTAGTTCAGATATTTCGCCAAAAAGTCCCCCTCTTTGGCACTTGGTGTTGAAAGAACGCCAACTAAGGGTGATTGCAAGGAAACCCCACTGTGATGGCGACGTTTTCCAACAAAGGATGTTGGTCGTGGTTTCAGCCCGTCCACTTCCGACATTCGTGCTCCAATCGTTGATGCAAATTCCAGGGAATTGCGCCCAGACTCGACAGTGTGAAGAGTTAAGGTGAGTGGATAGAATTTGAGGAAACTATCTGTAGACCCGGTTGAATCACTGTCGGGATGGAAATCAAATAGAATGAGAGTGCGCGAATAAGGACTTAGATGGGAGATAAAAGGAAAGGGTTGTTACGATTAATCAAATGTTTTAATTTGGTGCTGTAACGCTCTGTAGAAGACAGTTAACAATCGACGGCCTGAGTAACTAACAAAGGGTGATATAAGGGTCCAATTGTCGAAGTTGGCTCCAAAAGTAGGCGAGCGGTGGCAACGTTTTTACTGAAATCCCAGGTTTTTCGGGAGTGGACGAGACCTCCCCTCCTCTCCCAAAAGACCATCTCACAGTGCCGCGTGTAGCATTTACTGGAAAATGAAACTTTTCGGGAATATAATAGGGTTAATGAGCCACGGATAGCTAGCTCATCCAGAAAACATTGCTAATCCTGATTTGAAACCTTTCAAGAGAAGGCGCGTGAAATGGCCATGGAATATTCTGGTTACGACGGCCACGAGGGAGCAGAGTGTATTCGGTAGCCTGCATAAGGGAACAATACTGAAAGAACATGTGGTCCGATGGACAGGACACCGGTCCCAAATGAACTGAAAGGGCCCGCGCAATGACTGCGCCAATCATAGGGGCGTAAGCCTTATCCCAATAGCGTCTTCGCTGTTGGCGTCCGTCATTCTCCGCCGATTGTACACCACGTGTGAAAAACAGGCTGGGTTTCGTGCCGGTCATGGATGTATCGATCAAATCTTCACACTCCGACAGCTGCTAGAGCACCGTCATGCCTACCAAAGATCACCGATCATTGAATTCTTAGACATCCGTCCAGCATCCAGCCTCACTCTAACTGGGGAAGTAATAGAGCAGGTGGATAAGTTTTGTTATCTGGGCAGCTACATCTCACCCGTTGTACGCATCACAGATAAAGTGGGGCACGTGTTACGCATGTCACCAAATAGGTTGCACGGCGAGCGGTGTTTACCGAGGCAGGTAGTGGGTGGAATAAAGCACAGGGTGGCCAAGCCAAAACCTGGCATCAGGGTATGAAAACCCTAGCCAGGAGTCTGGATCACATAGGTCCCGTTAGGCTCCTTGGATGGGGACCTCGGGATGGTCGTACCCGATTGTTAGAGACACTGAGTGAAGTGGCTGGGTGTCGTGAACAGTGGAGTTCTTGCATCTCCTCAATTTTTCTGTATCATTAGTCCATTGAACTTTTCAATTTTCTCTCCGATCTCACTTTCAACCTTTCCCGTCTGTCTCTTAATGTTCATCCAAATGGGCAGCCGAAAGATAGCAAAAAAATCGGCGTGCGATTGTGCATGGTTAATGGTTGTACAAACTGAAACTGATACACCGTTAGGGTCATGTTACCGTGAGTCGAGGAACTATGTATTGGGTGGTGGTTACCTGGAGGGGCGGGATATACTAGGTTTAGTTTAACTTAAGACGCCTTGCAAACGGCGCAATTCATAGAAAATCCCATGATTTGAACTTCAGAACGATTAACTATGGACGAAATCGCCAAATACTAGAAATCGGGAACCGCAAATGATTTCGAATTCAGGAAGAGAGAGAGCGAGAGAAGGGCCGGACTGATCCACTGACCGGTCGGTCTGTGATTACTTTTTTGATGAGATATAAGTAGGCAAATGCTAAAACTTGGTGAACAAAGACACCGATTGTCACAGAACTGCCAATGAATTCGAATCGAACCACAGATGAGAAATTCACTAGGATGTTCATTTGATCTGATGTAAAGAAGGTAACAACAACAGTCCGATAGAGTAACAAAACAGCACCTACGAAAAATCTCCGAAGTTGTCGTTGTTTACTTGACTTGAGCAAGATTATAGCATTTCAACCTCAAGTGAATCCACCAAATATGTGCTGCTGGTAACCCAACAGTTTGCTTGGAGCTTCGGAAGTCACACTTCGCGTATGGAGTCGGGTCTATTTGAAGGACTGTCCGATCGGAATGAAAAATTTCTCCATAAATGATCAGAAGCAACTTTGGAATGAGTTAACGAGAGAAAGAGAGAGAGAACGGAGGTTACAGTAAGGGTGGGAGTTTAGCTGTTCAATCGCGCGGAACGCTATGTCCTGGATCGAGTGAATTTCGAACAACAATGAACGAACCTGGCGATAACTAACCGAGGTCAGATGGTTTCACTCAAGCATGAAGTGATCATAATTGTTGCATGGGCGGGTTGATTCCAAATCTCTATTTACACAGCGATGAAAATTACGTAAGGGTCGAGTTTCCCTCGAAAGTTTACCGACTGCTTTCGAACAAATGCAGTAGCCTAATGTTTGACATTGACAGTCTGTTCGACTACCTTTGGTCTTCTTTCACACAACACCTACCTCGACCACAGACAAAACTTATCCAAACTCGTTCAGAACACGCATCAGATATTATTACGACCCTTGGAGACCAAACACCTATGCTAGTGTATCGCCTCGAACACATAACAGTCTTTATCTAATCTAGTTGTCAATCGGACTCGTGCAATATGACGTAGA